TATAGATTGTACCAAATATTCACCTTCTAGCGGACAGTAATTGAACTAATTCAAAATCAACTTGTTACGGAAGTGAGGAGGGAGTTGAAAAATAGATTTTGTAATGGTTAATCACTCTATTAAAAAATGTGTTATTGCCGAAAACTATTTAATATGTTGTCATAAATCTTTGTAAATTGATTGGATTCTACTATTCATTGTATTCTTGAATTTTTATAAACGCTTCTGATATATTGGAAGTTATTTTTTATGTATATGAACAAGAATTATCCCCTTTTTCAGTATCAGGGACCCAGAAAATATTTTGCTGTCGAAAATAACATTTTTTCTGTAGCATTACAATACTGTTTATCTGCACCAGGAGTATGTGAGAAATTAAATTAGTGTTTTTACAATATGTCACCTCAGGAAACGTAAACAAAATAGAACACACTCTTTCGCCTTCTAGATGCTCATGTCCTAATTTTAAATTCATGAACTTCGAAGTAATTTTTTTTTTTTCAGAAACTATTAAAATGGTAATGGGTAAATTAAATGTCGTCTTATTGGAAATGACTCTTTAGCGAATGATTTTCTACTAGATTCTTTATCTTGTATGTTAGCCAATAGTGTCAAATCCTTTATTTGATTGGGCGTAATTGCCATTTGTTTTCTGATAATTCTTGCTTGGATCGTTTCTAGCTACACTGTTGGCAAGTAAATTGTATCATTTACGAACTGTTTGAAATTGTTAGGACCCGTCATACAGTACGAATATGGTTGTATGAGGTTTTTGATGCATATCGTCCCTCTACTTTCAGAATATAAGAACGAATAGCGGTAAGTCATTAAATCATTGATTAAAATATTTATTCTGTAACTGTAATGTTTTGATGGATTATTTATATAGTGGTAAAGTGTATGTTTTTCATGATTGGCTTCATGTTGGCGCTATACACTTAAGTAGTTGCTTTCTATAGTGAAGAAATGCATTGTTTCGCAAACTTTAATTTACAAGATAGGAGAAGTCTTATCTGATTCTTTTCCATTAAAACATTTCAGATCGGTAGCTGAATCTAACGCGGTGTGAAGTGTCACGTGAAAATTATAGTATTGCGGTCGCACGAGGTAAGAGAGAAAACATTTTATTCTTATTGTGATGTTAATTTGTAAGTATTCTTAATACGTAATATTAAATGTACTCCCCTGTATCTATTTTATAGATAGAAACACACGTAATAAATTAAAAATCAGCAAAATTTCATCATATTTTTTTGAGACATTTGCCCTTGCTAATTGCAATAGCTACGGTTTTCGCGGCAAAACGTTATTTCGTGCATTAACATGCCATGTTTATCACCCCCCATATTGCACTTAACGAAAACATTGTATTTGATGCGTTATTCATGAAAATATTTTAAAACTCAGAAACAGTACTAGAAGAAATCGGAGCAATCGCAAACAGAAAAGACATCGCTAAAATTACAACAAAAATTTATTTTGCGCTTTAAATAATAATATTCATTACTTATCTCAAATTTGTGATCGTTTAGTTAAGGACAAATTCTAACTACATCTTGCAAAACAGAAAACTTAATTATCTATAATCACCGTTTTGCGACATCCCCTTTTAACCCTTTCAGATCAAATTGCTACAATTGTGTGCGAATTTCTTATTGATGTAATGAATATGTGAAGACAATTCTAGAATGCACACGCCTCATTTAGTTTCAGTTGCTAATTATTGTAAGCTATTTTGTGTGATTGCTATGTTTTTCCCACTTTGGAGTTTTATAATAGCATTTCAGAGCCAATGATATATTTCCTGTGGCAACACAGTGACTGAGATATGTTTTCTTTTTCATTTATTCCTTTATTTTCCAGTTGTCTCTTTCTAGATATAGGTTCTGGGAAAACATTTGCAACTATTTAGTATATCAACAACGTAGACAATCACAGTTCAGTTGAATTATAATTTATGTAGAAAGTTTATGTACTCTAAGGCATCCACCAGGTTCAAATGCAAGTAATTGATTTTTGTATGTTTCATAACATGAATTAATAATGAAAAAAATTTTTTCATGCAAATGTAAAGTATCATATTTTGATTTGTTGAATAATTTTAACATATCGGACCCAATTCTTGCACCTAAATATGCAATAGACATTTTTCATGGAGAAAAAGCAAGTTTCTAAATTAACAACT